AAGACGGCGGCGGCAGCGGCGACGACGATGACGAGAAGGTGGTGGTGGCGGTGGAGGTGGAACGAGCAGGAGGTAGAAGAAAACGAAGACGGGGAAAAAAAACCATTCGATTTTTAAGCGCTCCCGGTACATTGTGTCGTGTTAAATTCAGTAGCAGACTCGGGAGATCGTAATTTAGCGGCTAATTGGGTACCAAACAGGACCAGCCGAGGTAACGCCCACCGTCGTGTACCACGCCGCCGCCGTGCATATTATGCGTCTATACTCTATACTATATACAGGTATAATATAATATATGATATACACTATACCACAACACACGTCTACGGCGGCGGCCTATCCGAGTTACTACTATACACGTAAATAATAATAATAATAATAATAATCGAAACGTGTATACCGCTCGTTTTGCCGCCAAAGTCATTAAGCGCATTCATGGATATAACGTAGGTATAGAATAACAGGCTTGTGTCGGACGCGAGCTGCTGCAGCTGTGGACCAGAGAAAGAGGGAGAGAGAGAGAGAGAGAATGACGAAAAATAATATCGTGCGTTGAAAAAAAAAAAAACAATTTCGATGCGACTTGTTTGACACAGAACCGTCAACGTTTTTCGAAATAATAATGACGATAACAACGACTTCGTGTAAACTCGACAAATTACATGCGATTTCAACTGTACACTGAAAAAGCGTGGTATCTGAGTAGGCTGCAGTGGTTTACTTAGGATTTTGCTGCGTTGGGTGCACAATTACTTCAAGCCTCCTTCGCCCGGTTCTCTTGTAGTAGGTACTTATGTGGCTATATTATATTATATTATTATTATAGTTATATAATTTACCCAACACATAATGAAACATAATTATATCAGATATAGGTAGGTACTATTTACAGAAAATTAGAAGGATGTCATAAAAAGTACAAAATATGTATCTATTAACATCATATTTCGAGATATATCTATATCGCGGTAGCTGCAAGACAGATGCGCTCACATTATTATTATAATAATATTATGTAATTACGAAGATACCGCTCGTTGCCACATTGTATGGGTACACGTGAAAACTGTTCCTTTAGTTATACGACTGTACAAATTATTATACAAATGTGAACTCATTTGAGAAATATTCGATTCTCTTTCGGCGCATACGGATCGTATTATATTATACACGACCCAATTATTGTTAATAGTCGCAGTAAATCGTCACGATTTTGATACAAAATAAATATATTATAATAATATACAGGGGGACCTACGCGTGCACGTGCACACTATTGTAAAATCAAACGCACTATTATAATACCAGTTTAAGATTTTTTTTTTTAAATTTTGGTTTCAACCTAAACAAGAATATTACTAAATTCCTCGCGTGCCTACAAATGTCCGTCAAAGAAAAGCAAGCGGCCGAGCGTTCCGCAAAAAATGTGGTTCAATAAATTTTATGGAGCCACCATATAATATTATGTATATGACCGCAGCGGTGCTTGTATTGTCCTAGAGATTATGATTTTAGCCTTTTTCCTCCCGTCCGCCCTTTGACGCGCGTGTTTAATGACGTGCCCGCCGAAAGGTCGTAAAACGCCGGAGGAAAAAATGACCATAATATGATGTACGAACCAGTGTGTCGGCGTGTCACAGTCGAAAGCAGTTTTACCGTTTTATATATTAACAACAATAAATATATAATAATAAAACATAATAGCACCGTGTCGTGCATGTTGTTATGAGCGCATAGATGAGCGTTTTAGTTGTGTCCAAACGAACAATCGGTTTTCAATGTTTTCGGGTATAAAAATGGTGAAATGCTCCAAGAAAGAGATACACAACTCGAAGATTCGCCTACAGTATGTATAGAGTGTGTAGAAAGAAACAGCATTATGATGTAGATTGTGTTTACTGGATAAGAGTTAAGTGATTTGTAAACAAAAATTACCAATCTCTCACGTTTTGTTGTTGTTCTACACACGTGTATACCATTTAAAAAAAATAAATACTTCTATTTACTGATTTTCCAACGGCGTTATTTACATTTTTTTTTATCCAAAATTTAAACAGATGTGAAATCGCGAACAGCGGAACAGGTATATATTAATTTAATTGCAGCAGTTCACATATAGAGCCATAAGATAACCTGACAACATTAATATATTAATATTATGTAGAGTACGTAGGTATTTATGTCGTACCAGCGGCAGATCATGAAAAAGAAGAGAAATATAATATGTCGCGTGCTGCACTGCGCAAACTATATTGTTACTTTTTCTTCTCGAGTGGAAAGCGACGTAAAAAACATTTTTTTATTTTCCTTTTACAAAAGTGTGTTACGCGGCTGCACTCCCGTAAAAAATGTGACATAATAAACACAATTTATATATACTATATATAGGTACGAGTGACGTGAAAACGGATACCTCGAGTGCGTGAGTTATAATAAATATATGTATTATACATATTTTACTCTTTCGAATATTTTATTAGTACTTCAAGTGTAACTTTTGACGCCTGCTGCAGAGAATGAAAAAAAAAATAATAAAAAAATACACCCGATGAAAATACATATTCTGTTCATAGCCCGTTATTATTCGCTCCGTCTCCGCGATATTAATATTATTATATACGAACAACGAACGTCGAGATTGTTGAGGGTAAATACTCGGGATGATGCGAATAGCATAAAAAATATTCAACGATTATTACTTTGTTGGGTTATTCGTTCGTGTTCGTTTTCAACGTCAAAAAAATATGAACACTGGTTGTTTGTAATTATATGATAATAAAGTGAGAATTTATTTGAAATATTTTTAAAACAATATGTGCATACAGCATAATGTAACACTTGAACGCTGCTAAGATTGGTGTGTGATGTCATGACACTCGACTCTGCAAGATTAGTGAGTGATGGTGTTACGATCTATCACCTATAAGTATCTTGCCTATTGGCTATTCCTATAGCTTGAAAACCTAAAAACTGTCTGACGAAATCCGTCGCCGGACCCCCTTATACATAATAACATTAATAAGTAATAAAAATTAATAATAATAATAAAACATATAGGTATATAGTGTTTACATAAAAAGCAAAAATTATAATATCACGCACTGTACCTTTTTCAGGGTTATATATACAGGTGCATGATACGACGTATACACAATATTACTGTGTACGTATAGTGTTTATGTATTTACGTATAAATGCATAATGTATAATACTATATAATATTTAGTACGGCCTTTATTATTGCCCGTGGTTTTAATACTTTGTTATATAAGACAAACTTTTAACTAAAAAATGTTGGTACATCGGAAGTTAGACCATTAAAATACATAATATAACAATCAATGTTTTTGTAACATAATGTAGCTTAGAAAATAATATTTAATTAATATTTATAGAAAGATACGAGCTATATTGAAACTACGAGTAGGTACGACGTGGTTAAGTAACTAGGATTTGTTCGAAGTTTGAATAGGCATTATTATTATACAGGTATAGCATATTATACCATACCATATGTTACCCATGCAACCGTTTCATTGATTTCATAAATATAAAATCCCATTTGAAGAAATCAAATGTTCGACCTACATAAATTGTGTTGCACGGGGATCCGTCATAAATTTCGATCTCTGGTGGCTCTGCCGGTATAGGTGCATTTCGACAATTATATTATGCATAAAACATTTATTACGAAATAACAGTTCCCATCATAGTACTATAAATTATAATACGATGCTCGGTTATATAGGTACTTACGACTTACCTATAACGTATTGTATTATATGTACAGATCAAACATTCAAACGACAATAATAAATAATATTACAGTATAGTCATATATAATATTATGTACTCCAAACTGTATATTATTATAATATTATATACAACGGATTTTTATTGTTCGGGACGAGCCCAGAGAACAAGCGGGGTCGGCGCGTTTGGACGATTCGACGCGGTGCCGTAAGCGCGGGTGGTTTTCGCCATCGCGTTTTGTCACGGTTCGTGATCCTCGAGGACATCGGCGCCTCCCCGCGGAGTGATCGCATTCGAAACGCCCGCACTGCAGAGGACCTCAGACAAATGTATATTATATTACGAAGTTTACGGCATGTCGAACAGACGACGACGACGTCGTGGGGTCCACGGGGATCGGGGACTGCACTTGAAGCCGACTGCAGTAACTATATAGTTTATGTGCCCAGCCCGTCTCAAGTGTGACATCGGATTTAAAACGAAAACGGTCAACGCATGGTATACCTATACCCATATGCAAGAGATTCGGAAATTCGTATACCTAACACTCGAGGTCACCCAAAATATTTAGGGGCACATTAGAAATCTGGACATTTTTCGACGGCCATCGAAATCGCTAAACTCGGCAAAAACCATCATATGAACAAAAATGATAAATATTACAACACTATAGGTACCTAGTGTTATGCTGAACGTATGTTATAGGTTTTTACTATTTTTTCTTGCTGCGGGCCGGATAAAATTTGTCCGCAGGCCACAATATACATTATTTATATAGGAATAGGAATATTCATTAAGTAAAATCACCGCGGTGTTGGTCGCCTCACCTCGAACAACCCATTTTTCGCCTACAGACCCTATAAACCTGTCATTGATTCGTGTATCTATATAAATATATAAATTACCTAATATATTTTATTCGTAAAACATACTAAAATTACTAAAATATAAAACAGAACAGACGTAATATTGGATTTTTAGTATTTTGTTATACTGGGACAGTTGTACGGTATTTGGGAGTATTTGAACATGTTACCCTTAAGTATATTTAAAAGTTTAATTATTGAAGGAAAAATGAGAGGGGTAAGCACTCTTGGTGAATCGCCCTGTATGTATACATCTCCACGACTCCACTGCTGCAGCCGACCGGAGAGAATGTCGATTTCACACTCTCCGTTGATCCCGCACGCACACATTCACCAACGACATTGTAATTTTAAGCGCGCGTAACGAATGTACATACTTACAAGAAGGTATATACGGTGTGCATTGGCCATTGGTATATACCATAAAGCATACGGTATATACACTTCGCGCGTACCTTTGTTCGTGTCCGTGTCCGTCGTGTACTCGTGTGACTTGCAGCACGGTAACCGCGGTCCCATATCAAACGGGACGGTGTATCAGGTATATACTAGGTATTATTTAATCATTTTTTCTGACTGCATAAACTTATTCCCACTCTTGGATTGGATAATATTGAATTGAGTCCAGCAAATACTTTTGGGTTATCGGAGTTGAGTACGACCAATATTTTTAGGTTGTTCGAGTTGAGTCCCTTAAGCCTATTACCGTTACCCAGAAGACACCACGTGGAGGTTGGCTGAGTAATCTCCAAAAAAATTGGTGTGATTGTTTTTTTTTAATCATAATAATAATGATAATTAGTGTAAAGAGTTAATTAATTAAAAAATATTAAAATAATAATTATTATGTATGATTGTATAGGAACATGGTTTTTTTTTCTATCATATAAAAAATAATAATAAGTATAAAGAGTCAATTAAAAATAACAATAATTATGTGTAATATAATAATGTTAATAATGAAATAGTTGCTAGTAAAAATTTAAATGATATATATTTTAAAAAGTCAAATCTGCCAATTTGCATATTAATGTATTTGTTTGTCTGCTCCCGTAAAAAATTTTCTTTTTCTAATGTTTTTTACATGGTCTCTTTGCTTTGCTTCTAAGTTTTATATATGTATCGGACTGTATTCACAGAAGAGTGTCCACAAGAATAAAAATGTTTGGATGTCCCATGAATATCCGTTATCGTTGCGTGTCCTGTATAATATGATGACATGAATTCACTTGATGTGCAAGGTTCAAAGTCACCGGCTTAACAGCGCCGGTTGTCGTTTGCGCATCACTATTGTTATTTTTTACCTTTTTTGTAAGACAGTTGCGCATCGTTTGATTTTTGGGCTATACATCGTTTGCGCATCAATATTATATAATAATAGAACTGAAAAAAGGTGTATACCCAAAAGCGCGTTGTTTTCTAACTTTAATCATAAAATTCAATCCTAAATGAACTGAACACAATTTAGTTGAATTCATTTTTACTCAAACTACCTATATGTTATACGAATATTTTTTACTATAACTAAGACCATGGAATGTGCCTAATTGAACTGAGTGTTAAATTTTTACTACAAAATAATTTGCAAATTTTTGAGCTTTTGATAAATTTTGTCAACATTTGAACTTTAAATGCTTATTGAACAAAAACTTGTGCCTATGTATATTAAATTATTCATTATCTATATAATATTTCATATGTGTACAATTATTATTATACCTTTCTATTGTTAAGAATTTTGATGCACATATGATACACGATAATTTGGTGCAGGTAAACAGACGATGCGCAAATGATATACGGCCCTTAACAGGTAGTTATGACATTTTATCTATACGGACTCAATTCAAAGATATTAAGATAATACCTTGGACTCAATTCAAACACATAAAAGTAGCATGGACTCAATTCAATATCACCGCTTGGATTATAGTAGGGAATTTGTCTACGTGTCACAAAGTATCTTCAATTAACATGGTAATTTCTTTTTAATTTTTGTGTTTAACTTTTACATCAAATAATAGTAATATAATAATGAATAATATTAAGAATTTTTAATTTTAATCGAAACATTTTTTTTTTTTTATATGATTTTTACGCAACTATTGTTTTACAATATCGTTCTTAAAATATTTTTTTGCACTGCACAAAGTAACAATTTTTAAGGCTCAATTACTTTTCTCACTGCACAAAATGTGTCTCACTGCACACTAAAAAAAAACCCTCGTATATATCCTACCATCGGTGTGGAAATGGCGGCGGACACGACTCCGGGCTATTTAAGTAGGTAATCAAAAGACGTACAATCGTGCAGACGTACATCAGAGGACCCCGGTGGTTTTGATTTCGATCTCCGATAAAGTAGTCCGTACTCGGGTAGTCGAGTCACCGAGGGCGAGGGATTTCGTGGGACATAATATTATATCGAAATCCGACGTATTTAGGTACATATTGTAATACAATTATTTAATACCTACCAATAGGTGTAGTGTATAGTGGCGCGACAAAGGCCAGGGCGTATCTCGCTGGTCGCTATATACCACAGCGCGACGTTATGACATATATTATAATATTGTGTGAAACACATAATATAATATATATATAGGCACCGATAAAAGCGAGACGCGGTCACGTGTATTATATTATTACATAGTATTCTGTCGTAGGTCCGCGATGATATTATATACCAGGTCGATATAATATTGTAATATGTGACGTCGGCGGCACCGGCTCGGCGTTTTATAATATTATATGCGAGAGGAGTATAAACGGTTCGCGCACAACATTTTATTGTATACCTATATAATATTATATATTATATAAATACAAAAGAATATAATGTGGGACGTGGGCATATTATATATTATTATTATTATTATTATGCGTACGGGAAGAAAATCTCCTTTTATATTATTGTGTGTGCGTGCGTGTGGCGTGCAGGGTGCGATGGGAAAAAAAGCTGGAAAAAAAAACGGACGGCCGAGTATGAAAGAGAGAGAAATATAATGGTTAATATGATCGTCATATATGTGTGCGGGTGTGTGTGTGTGTGTGTGTAATATAAAGAACAATAAATATACGCGCTCGCGCTCGCGCGCGTATGCGTACACCGTTGGCGGCGGCGACGGCGGCAGCGGCCGCCGGCTCCTTTCGGACGTGCAAAATCACAATTGGTTCGCCGCCTTTGAATGCGTGCCGCCTATGTAAACAAAATACGAACGCGCCCGCAGGGGTCGCCTCGCGCCTTTGATGTTCCGCCGCCTGACAGCTGTGCCCTCCACGGTCCACACGCACACTGCAAGTATAATATATACCACATATATATATATATTATATAATATATACATATTACACATATATATATATATATATATATATACATACGCATTATATATATAAAGCGAGCGCACAAGTACGACGACCGAGCGTGAGCCGCGCGACCTGGACGACTAATATTTAAAATTACGAAATTGAGTGATGATAAACGCCTCCCCCGCGAGGCTCCCCCATCAGCGGGAAATCGTGGAAAAGGGAAATCCGGTTTTATAAAATTACATTACCCAGCTCTGCGGGGAGTCATGATGACATAACTACAATATTCTGCCGTCTAATGCAGGTTCGATCTCCTTCTGCTGCAGCAGTCGTACGCGGCGACCTATTAGCTTCTCCAAATCCAAACCCCGCTCGATTATATCCGCTGACAGTATATATGCATATATATTATATTAAACCTGATCGAAAAATGATATTTTTCTTTGGTATGATTTCCAGATCATCATAATATATATATAAGATTATATTATATATTGTAATAATATCATACGGTTGCTGTCAGTAGTTCAAGTCACTCGTCGTTCGAATACCAGAATACCTATATAATATCTTACTTCATTTTATATAGTATTAGATCGTATAGTTGTGAATCGGTGGCAAATAAAGTATATCAGAATAACAATAAATTCAGCCACCCCCGCCTCATCATAGACTTTATACCTAGAACACTTGAATATCAGTTTCAATAAAACAAAACTTTTTTAGTTTACATTTTTCATCCCTTCACATATGTTATTCAAAATTATGCATACCTCTCTGAACATTTGCAGTTATATTAAATGATAATTATTTGTTTCATTTATAGTTTTCACGAAAACAACACTACACACAAATAAGACCTAAGACCATGGATTACGTAAACAGTTGTTTTAAGTTTCTAACAAATAAACATAGGACCATAATATATTTTTATTAGAATGAAAAAACGCATGTAGAGTATTTTTGATAGGTCGATATCCCCTACTTATACAGAGACACTTCCACCACTATAATAATATTGTTCTTATTTAATTTTTCGTTTTATCCAGCGAACTTTAATGGGGTAGATTATAATTTATGTAAATACGCCGTATAGATGCACTCATAAACTTGAACAGGGTCTAGAGATTCGAATTACGCCATGACTTCTTGTCTAATGTCTCAATAATATTATAATAATCAAATCATATTTAATATAGAAACATTAAAACTGTGCATTCTTATAATAATTTCTCTTATGTCTAATATACATGTATAAAATATAATTATAATAAAACCACTATAACTTTTATAATAATTTTATGGACAAATTAAAGACCTAATTTAATAAAAACATCTTTGGAAAAAATTATGTAGAACTCGATATCCTAAGCCCCCTCATTAATTAGGTTTACGAATACATATGCACACCTGCTCAAATGTAAATAATTGGCCTGTTCTGCAGCATACACCCACCCCCACACACACACACATGTATATATATATATATATATATATATTATGAGTTATAACGGAGACACCGATGAGTACCTATCATTGCAGATATTCGAAAAATGTTTCATCGAGAACCGCATGATGAAAAAAAACCACGCTAGGAGACCTGTTGATGTTTCAATGTCGAAATTTTCTCGATAAAATCGGTTGTGCGTGCGTTAACGCGCACGCGCTCGTTCGTGTGTGCGTGTGTGTGCGTATGTGATGATGGACTCGGGCCAAACGCGAAATACTATATACGAAATAATAATCCGTCGGAATGTGCGGCACACAGAATATCTCGTTGTGCGGCGCGACGTGTAACACGACGCTCGGGATTCGGCACGCGCAAAGGCGCGCGACCCTCGACGACCCGAAAACGATTATAATTATTATTATTGTTGTTAACGATCGCGGTCCTCCACGCACACGATATCGTGTCGATCGCGCGGGCGTTATTGATGTATACAAGACAGACACACACACACACACACACACACACACACACACACGCACTCACACACATTCATACACACCGCCTCAGCGGACCGCGTCAAACGAATATTTTCGGGAAACCGTTTCGAGCCGAGAGCCCGTCAAAGCGGCCGCCGACAAAACCTTATTATAATACGTACGCGAGCGTATATATATTATATATATATATATATTAACATATTTTATTGTACATATACATTATACATATATATATATATATATATATATTATATTATTAT